GTCTGTGATAAATATTATCGGCGACAATTATTGCTGATATAAATACTTATTCATTTTCATTTCAGCATGTGGTGCGTGGATAAGGTGGTCAAAGGGCTGTGGATCGCATTGATCGGCTATCTTTTTTACCGATATACTTTCTCCAGCTACTTCAGCAGATCAACGACATTGGCTCAACCGCTGGAATCATTTTAGTGGACATTTATTTTTTCTAAAAATATTTGTCTTTGTTTTAAGTAAAATATAGTAGTTAATTTTTAACCAAATAAATCCACAATTTGTTGAGTATTTGTATGTAATCATGATAAAAACATAAGAAGGTAAAACCGTATTAGGTCCATTCAATATAAACAAATTGTTACGAATTGTTCCTAGTACTTGCAAGATTTTACTGGGAATACATTCAATAACCCAAAATATTTGCAAGGGGGAGCGAATTCGAGAGCGTAACAACCCGAGAGAGCTGCAAATTCTTGCAAGTAAAAATTTTACTAGCAGGAATTTGCAGGAGTCAAAAAGTAAGGTTGTGTTTCAAACTCAAATGTAAACAAACTGTTTAAGAGGATGATTCGATGAAACATAATTAATTAGTGAAATGAAAATATGGATGAAAAATTTAAATCTATTGTATATTTTTTTATTTTTATGACGAAGGGCCAAAACTTAACCGTCAGAAAGTGTCAAAATGGCTTAAGTTGCAGGTTTTTACTACATAGTTTTGCGTTCAATAACTTTTTCTGAAAATTTTCTCTTACTCTCAATTTTACTCTCTATTTTTCTTTTACGCTCTCGCTGCAAGTACTTACTGGAAAAGTTATTGAATGGACCTAATCTAATAAACAAAGTGAAATAAATATTTGACGTACGCTTATTTGAAAATTTAAATGTAAACAATTCGTATATTTGTTTACATTACGGCTTTGGTTTGGAATCGACTTCTGAGATAGGGCGTTCTTCAACTAAATTCTGTAATAGGGTGTTTTTTAATATTTTCAATTTTTTTTTTTCAGAATTTATGCGAGTTGCACTAGAAATTTCCTGATTTTCTCGATTTTAGCAAATAAATTAGTCAGTAAACCGTATTTTTATTTTTTGTGAATAACTATTTACTGATATTTACACATACGAAGGTACAGAAACCGCGCTTTGTCACAGAAACAATATGCCAGTACGCAGAATGTCCCCATCTCAAAAGATTTCTTCATATATGTATATATATATATATACACATTAAGATTAAGGATACTAACCGCCACCTTGTTCGCCACTCCCAGGCGTTGAATTATATTGAGGACTGCTACTGCGATAGGGCTCTGAGTCATCGGTTGTCACATTTCCCTAGGGGACTCTTGCGAGCAACTCACTCTCCCTATCATCTTTCTCTTCTTCTCCTCCTTATTGTTTATATTTTTGTGCAATTTTTTTCATTTGGGCGTACGACCACCTGCGCGACGAAGCGGACCCAGTAGTCAAAAATAGTGGCGGGAAGCAAACATTCCACCGCGGTAGCGCCCTGTCCTGTTGCGGCCTGGTGTCAGGAAGGCTCCGTTATAATACAGCCGATGTTTTAGACCCCCTGGCTGCAAATCCTCCAATAGGCACGGTCGAAGCATAAGACCATGGATTAGGGGATTGATAATTCTTGATCACTGTTCACCCACAGCTCGAGGCCGGACCGGGGCAGCGCAGATGAAGGCTGGCCAAGCACCTACACTGCTCAGATCCTTCGACGGCGATTCAGATAAGCCCATGCACCAATGAAAAGGTGCCTGCCCTAGCGAAAGCCTTTTAGATATAGGTCGGCGACTAATTGAGATGTAATAATGTCCGTATAAGACTACTTGCGACTACCCACTTAATGCCAAATTATACCCCATTGCGACTAATCCCGCAATACTCTCTTTTAATATTAGTCGCACAGTTTTTTGCAGGCATTACATAATCGCACATTAGTCATACGACCCGCCCATACTTTAGATAAGCGAAATTGTGACTGTGAATCACAGCGATTTGAAATAGTGACTAATAGGGCTCGGAATCTCTTGCAAATGCATGTTTTCATTGGGCATCTTCAAATGGGAATGGTTGAGTTAGGGCTTGTTCGAGTTGCAATCACAACCGCAGTGTTGCGCGAATTATTAAAGTATCGCGTTCTGTGTGAATATCTAGCAATGTATTATCAGTTGGGCAGTTGCAACAATGTTGCCATTTTTCATCAGTACGGCAGTAATGCCGCTTTTATTACGTGCCTCGAACAGGCCCTTATATTTACGAATGATGAAATTGCCTTTAAAATGGCCTTTATAGTAATGAGTGAAATTTATTGAATGAAAAATATAAGTTACATTTAGACACGTAAGAAAAACGAGTATAATATAAATGCATGCATGCTAGATAATAAGTAACAAGTACTTCAAGTCTTCAGTACATCAGCCTTCAATCGTTAGTGCAGATTTTGCAGTAAATGCATAGTTTTGCATTTTTTTCGGTTTTTGCATATTTATTGCGATATTTTACAACAAATGCATATGGTTTTTGCATATTTTTGCTTTACTTTTAATTTACAACCATTTAAATTTAGTGGGAAATCTCCTTACAAATAAATTGCCGATAAATTTTTCCCAAATATCCATCCGAATATATTCACCGATCTCAGTTCACGGAAGGATGAGGCTTAAGACACTCGACAAGCCATTTCTGCCAAATGTTTCTCTGAATGTCTCTCTCTGTAACTGCCATACCTAAACAAAAGCGTTGGGCGGAGCGATTTCTGACGCCTAGCGTTAGCGCCGAAGTGGCATACCTAAACAAACGCTACGTCAAATGCAGAAATAACACCAACAATAAGCATAGGTTTGTTTGTGTGTAACACGAAAATGACAGTTTCGCCGTTTTCTGCAGCCAACTTCAATACCTAACGCCCTGTCAAAATCGAATTTTCCAACCGCTCAGCGTTGACGCCGCGTTGTTTCGGTATGTTTCATACAAATTGTATGAGCATGAGAATTTTTTGACAGTCGGACAACGCTGACGCTTTTATTTAGGTATGGCAGTTAGAAATTCATTCAAGCCGCCTAATGGCTGTAGGTGCCAAAGTTGCTAATTGCTTATCACCAAGGTGACAATCCACTATTGATATTATTAAATTACATAACCGATTAAAAAGGTAATGACGAGAAAATAAAGACAATTAATTTGTCTTTCAGCTGATATATGAAATGTATATGCTTGTTTATATATTTAAGCCAAAAATATTAAAAAAAATAAAAATTATTATTTTATCATAAAATAGCCTTTTTTGAAAAAATACATAAATAATAAGGGTATTCATCAAACCTTACAAATGCATTGTAAACCGTATAAACTTATAATTGTGTAAACCTTATAAATGAACTGTCAAAATTTGTATGGAAACTTGTTTACACATTTCTGATATATTTATCCAGCGATTTCACGGAATAAACTTGATAAACTGAAGACAATGCAACTCTGTCGAAACTCTAGCTATGTTTTCTTAGGCAATAATCGGGATCCGCATACAAATTTTGCACGCAAATTCAACAACGATATGATCCTGATAGAGATCTGGTTCAATTATTATCCCGTCTGTTTGTTTTGTTTCACTGATAATTCGCAAAGTTTGGTAGCCGTGACAAATGAATTCATACACAACAAGACATTCTGCCATTGTTTCTTATAACTTACTTCAAATAAATAGCCTTATGTTATATGTACATACATTTATTTAAATAGATATCTCGTAAATATAATTTTTTCCAATTTAGTGAGGTAGTTTCTATAATTTCTTTATCCCCGTGCTAGTAGTATAAAGTTAGTGACACTGCGCTTTATAACCAAAGAAAACACGACTATTGTCGCATGTGTAAACGAAAAGAGAGTGTGGGTCGTTCATGTAACAGAGTGCATAAACTTATAAGATTATCTGCTTGATAAAGTTATCGGTTTAGATGAATACCACTAATGTTAAAAAGTTTATATTATTTGGAAATTTCAAGTTTTTACCTTCAGTTTGATATAGATATATGTACGTATTTATTTTGTTATGATTTGCTTTTGAGTTTTCATAATTCAGTGATAATAAAAAATATAAATGCATTTATATGCCAGCAAGTGTGAGGTGATATCATATATATATATATATATATAAACAAGCATATACATTTTGTATATCAGCTGAAAGAAAAACTAATTGGCTTTATTTTGACATCATTACCTTTTTGATCGCTTTTGTAGTTTAGAAAATACCAATATTTTTAAATATCGAAAAATTTTAATTTAACCGCTTATATCTACTTTACTTTTCAAATGCGCCAAATAATAAGTAAAAAGTACTATCGATCTGCATTTATAGTTTTTCCATACCTGAACGGTTGCTTATCTAGATGTGTGCCTTTATTTTTGTACCAGCAATAACATATTTTTAATTGCATATTTTACTAGTTTATAGTGCATATTTTTGAATTTTGAGAGCATATTATTAATGAAGATCCCTGATATATTAAGCTCTAAGATTTCGCCAAGAGTCCTTTAAAGAAACAAATTCCCTCCTTAATTCCAGCTTAATTTTTAAATGCAATGTAAAATGTTGTCTTTAATTATTTTCCTTCCTAATTTCACAAATTAAATACAAATTTTCGAAGTTATGCTAAAAACACATTGAAAGCGACGCGCTACGGGAGACATTTGTCAAATTATTTAAACACGTGAAGTCACACTGTATAAAAAAAAAACTGTTTCACTCCAAACACCCTGTTGCATACCATTTTTTTTTTAACTTATGGTTAGCAATATTGCTTTCAATATATGGTTCTTTATCCTTTATTAAAAGAGGACGAATATTTATGAGTGTATTTACTCTTTTACATTCCGTGCTTATTGGTTAAAAAAATCTTATAGTTTCCAAAAATTGCAAAATTTGTTGTTCGAGCAGTCTGTTACCCGTTTCAATCTGCTTGCATTCCTCTTCGATAAGACACAAATACTCTGGCAGCACTAGTTCGATCATATGTTCTCCGGGCAGCATTGGCCAAATTGTACGCAAATTTTTCTTATTTTTTCGCTTTCAATTCTTTCCAACAAAAATTAAAGTTCGGCAATATATTTCGGCAAGAATTTAAATACGCAAACGGTTATAAAAAAAGTTGTCAAAACGCGCAAGTAAATGCAAATAGTCAAATAAAGCCAAGTCAAGGTCGTTCGCGACGAAAACTGTCAGCAGTGCACCAAATCGGTGGTTTGCAGTAGCAGCTGGCAGCAGAAGGAAAAAGTGAATTTAAATCATTGGTAGTGCAATGCGGAAGTGGTCGGGGCAGTTTCAAAAGCAGCAGGAGCAGTGGGTTTATGCGGCACCTACTTTTGCATTGAAAATCGGAAGCGAGTTTGTCTAAAACTTATTCTGAGTTGTGTGGCCTAAAAATTGACGCCTTACGGCTTTTTTAGTTGAAGTGACTTTTTTGTTCGTATTAAAAGTAAGCGGCGGTCAGTTGAAGTTGCGTCATTGGCGGTATACATTACGTGCTGACTCTAGTTAGACTGTGCAGCAAAGTTGGTGCTTATATTTTAGAAGCGCTTACGATATTTTAGCACCTTTAATCGCTACCATATCCTACTAAGCCATGTCTACTACGCTGGAAGGAACACTTAGTAAATGGACAAATGTCATGAAAGGTTGGCAGTATCGTTTCTTCGTGTTGGATGAGAATGCTGGTTTGCTGTCCTACTATACGGTGAGTTGTGACCTTGAACAAAAGCCAAAAATTTAAGTATTGAAGCTGCCGGTTTTGCACAAAATTCATAAAAAATTTAAAGCTCCACTCTAAATGCAGGGCGCGGCGTTTGGCAAATATCGTTATAGGGTATGAGTCCAATTGACACAACACAACGTATTCATAGATTACATATATATCGTCGCACGATGGCCGGAGAAACTGTGTTTTACGCGAAAAAGGCATATTTTAAAACTGTGATTAATTAACCGGAATAAATCTGTTATTATTCAAAAATGTCCAACGAACTCAAAACTGATTAGTACTTTCAATAATATCTGCAAAGAAAGCCGTTCTTACAGTTATGAGTTGATAAATTTCTTAACAATTTTTTTATGGAAACTTTCAATTATAACAGTATTGCTGGTTTGGTCTTACTTACTTCTTATACATGGAATATAATGATTTCATATGAAATATTTCATAATAAATCTTGGTTGCTAATTATCAACACCTTAGAAGCAGGGCTTATTTATCAACAAATATTTTCTACAAGAAGGTATAACTAATTTGTGCAAAATCGAGTGCAAAGGTCCCTTTAAGGATCTACGAAAAGAAAAACGGGGCATACGTGTCAGCTGACACGATCTAATGGCATCTGCGTTTTAAAAAACTCACCACCGCGTGACCGTGACGTAGGCGTTGCTTCTTTTTCCATCAACAGAAAACTTGATATGTTTCTACGTACTTTTAAGCTGATGCCACATAAAACTTTTGCTTCGCTTTACGTGACAGATTCGCTTTGACAGATAAGATGAATTGTATGAAAATGCACAAAGCATGCCACATAAATCGTTGAAGCGGCAGCGCGAAGCGAAAAGATGGTCAACTCCCATCTTTTTGCGCGCTTTGACAATCAGCCGGTTTAATATTTATTTTGTTTCGTCCAAATTCGGGTTTTCATGCAGAAACATAAAACTTAATTACATTGCTGATAATTTTAAATCAAAATAATTAAAATCCACAGCAACTTTGATGAGTAAAAAAGCGGTACAACATTGTTTTCTTGACGTTCATTGTGGCATACCTTTTGCGTCTGGCGCTTTGCTGGCAAAGTTATAAATGTCACGCAAAGCTACAAAGTTTTATCTGGCATCAGCTTTACGCTACGCTATGTACACGTTCGTGGTTAACCGCACTCGAAAGTGTATTAAAATATTAAAAATTGATGTAATTTATTCTATTTTAGCATTACTTATATCATTTATAAGATGTGTCTTAAAAAAGCTGAAGTAAATTTTCAACAATCCAATAACGAATCCAACGAATGGCGACCAAGAATTTAAAAAATTGCCGAATTTCTTTCTTAAGTTCGCTCATTCGATGTCTGTGCGTCAACCAAATGTGTAAAAATGAAAATTTTGGGAAATTAAGTTTGAAAGTTTTTTACTGTAGTGTTGATTGATCAGCTGATTGGATATTTTTGTCTCTACACTAGTACAGGAGAATGTCATCCCAGACGAAGTGGCGCAACTTTAGGATGTCAACAAAACGAAATGACAAAAATTATCTGTTATTCCCTTTCGTTTTGACATCCCAATGTACCAAAAAGCAATAACAAAATACAGGGGACTTTTACTTATATGCAATTGCCACCGCCTTGTATGGATGCGCCTTGCTTAGGGCCAATTTCACAATGCGTAGTTAACTGCCGATTCTGAGCTGTGAAATTGGCCCTTAAAGGCTCAGTTAGTCTATACTTAATTTACGTAACGTAACCTATTATATTGGCCAACGCAATATATTTTTGTCCAGGAACTCTTTGATGTAGCTTATGGAGGCAATGTGACAACAAAATATTTTCGCTTCTGGCTAAGTTTACGTGTTGAGTAATCATTAACGATTGCTTAAGTAAGTTAAGTTAAGTCTAGACTAACTGAACCTTAACTCAACATTTATGCAATTCAAATTGTAAAATATGTTGTTTTCGCTTGCGATAGGTATTCTGGGTTTTGGTATAACATAGAACACCCAAAGGTTAATCAAGTCAACCCAATAACTCAAAACTGATCAATTTGCACATTTATGCTTCTGGCATAAAAGCGTGACGATATATGTATACATATAGTGTATGTATGCTATCATTAATTACATCCCTTCAATAGAATAAAAACGCTGTGTGCACCAATATGGGGCTACTGATAACACATTTTACTCAATACAATACAGACGGAGCTACATACATACATACATGTCGGCTGGTCTGTTTAATTGAAATATCCATTAACTTTTTTTATTAGGTTCTGTATCATTATATGCAATTATCTTATCTTCTAGAAATACATACATATCGTTACTTTAATATGGCATCTATTATGCAGAATATTATATATCTACACTCGAATTTTTCTAGAAGACAAATTATTCGTTCATACGATTTCGTAAATACATGAGCTCAATCTGGGTAAAATCTACTTTCAATACATATTCACTTATTTTGCGTAAAACATCTACATATTTGCATACCCATAAAATAACATTTATAAAATACTTGACTTCACTGGTCAATAGTAAAATTTAATGAGCAAGTTTTCGAAGACATATTTCTCAACTCTTCATTTAATGAGTAGTTCCCTTAATATTTTGGAACTATGTTGTTATGTGCTGCATTTAAATCGACCCCCAATTGCTTGGGCTTACCGTAGCTAAGCTCAGAGAACAGATGGATGCCAGGCAACGAGGAGGCAGATAAAGTGGCCACCGAAGCCGCAACTACTCGGGTAATAGTAGTAAAACCTTCCTAGGCATAATGCCAGACACCATCAAGAGAAAAGAAGACGGCCCAGATCTACATACTATGAGTAGTCCACTTGCAAAGTGCGCTATTTAAAATTTGTTCGATTTTTAGTTTTTGGTGGGTAAAACATACTAGTAGTTAAAGTAGTTTCATGTCCACTAACCTCCCAGTGCAAAATATTTCTATATTCTGAGAGAAGTGACCTACTCACGTACAAAAAGTTTGCTATAGACCAGCGAAAGAAACATTGACGAGACGGAGCTTCATCTGCCTCGGGAGACAAGAACCACCATACCCCAACTTCGCTCTGGCTCATAAACTCTCATAACGCTCATTAAACTCATACCAGAGCAGACTAAACGCGGATGTGCCAAATGAGTGTCCGGTATGCGGAGAGACCTCTCACGACTCGAAACATCTCTTCGCATGCCCGGAAACTCCGACAACCCTAACGCATTTGTCCCTGTGGACCGACCCAATTGAGGCTGCACGCTTCTTAGGGCTGCCGTTAGTAGAACTTGACGACAACGACTGAGATATCAACCGATCTGGGCAGGGTTGTTGTAGCCGCAACAACAACAACAACAACCGAGCCCGAAAGAACAATGGTACCATGAGGAGTGTCAAGAAGCTGCAGAGAAAAATGATGCCGCCTACAGGGCCACGCTGCGATCGGTCGCAACGCGAGCCATATGGGAACCCATACGAACCCGAGCCCCCAGTCGATGACGATGGAGTCGATGTCTAACTGCCTGACTATGACGAGGTACGAATAGCGATTACGCGGCTGAAAAACAACAAAGCTGCTGGAGCGGACGGCCTACCAGCCGAGCTATTCAAGTACGGTGGCGAGGAGCTGATAAGGTGCATGTATCGGCTCTTATGCAGAATAGGGTTAGATCAACGCATGCGGACGACTGGAATTTAATGTATTTTTCTTTTCTCGAAAGAAATTTCACCTTCATATGTGGCAATATTATCACAGTGCAACATTTTAAAGAAAGAGCACGCAATATGCATATAAAGATGGTGAGAAAAGAACACGATAACTTGACCGCCCTGGCGCAGGGCAGAATTAATGCATCGTTGTTTCGAGAAAAGAAAACGCTATAAGTGTGCTCTGCCCAATCCACAAGAAAGGCGGACCCGCCATACCCGTCAACTACCCCGGGATCAGCCTTCTAAGCATATGTCACAAGGTCTTATCGAGTGTATTGTGTGAAAGCCTGAAGCCCACCGTCAACGAACTGAGTGGAACCATATCACTGTGGCTTTAGACCTGGCAAATCTACCATAGATCAGGTATTCACAATCTGTCAAAACTTGTAAAAGACCCGCAAGTATAGGATCGACACGTACCATCTATTTGCCGATTTCAAAGCCGCTTTCGACATCACGAAAAGAAGTTGTCATTATGCCGCGATGTCTGAATTTGGTATACCCGCGAAACTAATACGGCTGTGTAAAATGACGTTGCGCAATACCATCAGCTCCGGCAGAATTGGGAGCCGTTTGATACCAAACGAGGTGTCAGATGAGTGTCGTGTGATTTCTTTAATCGGATGCTGGAGAAGATCACAAGAGCCGCAGAAGTGAACCGCTCAGACACAATACGTTACAAGAGCGTATAATTGCTGGCTTATGCCGACGACATCGATATTATCGGTAAAAACAAGGTTATGTCTGTTCTGCCTTCTCGGGATTAAATAGAGAAGCAAAGCGAATGGGTCTGGTGGTGAACGAGGACAAAACGAAGTATCTCCTGTCATCACACAAACAGTCAGAGCATACGCGTCTTGGCACACACGTCACTGTTAACAGTTACAAGTTTGAAAAAGTCGACGACTTCGTTTCTCTGGGAACCAGAATTAACACCAGTAATAATGTCAGCCTTGAAATCCAACGGAGAATCACTCTTGCCAACAAGTGCTACTTTGGACTGAGTAGGCAATGGAAAAGTAAAGTCTCTCGACGTACGAAAACCACACTCTATAAGTCACTCATCATGCCTGTGCTGGTGTATAGCGCGGAGCCATTGACAATGAAAACGTCTGATGAAGCGACACTTGGAGTTTTCGAGAGAAAAATTCTGCGAAAGATTTACGAACCTTTATGCGTTGGCGATGGCGAATACCGCAGACGATTTAACGATGAGCTGTATGAGCCTTACAACGATTTAGACTTAGTGCAGCGAATTAAAATTCAGCGGCTCCGCTGGCTTGGT